GATAGCGTAGATGTTGGTCGTTGGCTTGTTCGTTGACCTGGGCAAATTGATTGCAAACGTTTCATCACTACTCGAGGTGACATCATCTGTGCGTTATTGCGAAGCGTAGTAGTGCGTGGAGGTGGGTTGGTGGTTGTGCCAACCACCAATAACGCACTGATGCTGCCACCTCGATTGGTGACGAAACGTTTGCAAGCAAATTGCCCATCTCAGCGAACAAGCCAACGAGCACCATTGTACTAACTGGTATTTGGGATGTTTTAATAAGGTAAGCATGCTTTCTGTTATGAAAGAAAGCAGTGTAATTATTTATTTAAGCAACATTTCTTGTGATGATAAGCTTCATGATATCCGACACGGTTGTCCGCTATGTCAGCTTGCTTTGATAAATGACTATATCTGGGACATCATCATCATTGTCAGCTGTAATAACCGCGCACTCGTCGTACAGTGATTGTAGCTGCCGCAGTTTCGTTGTACCTTGTGGAACGAAGTTCCAGCCAGTGTAGCCCGCGGGATCGTTGCAGCACTCAAGCCCGACCACCACATCAAGGTGGCAGCCTTAGGTCGGGACAGTTAAGTTTGATTCGGGGAATCCCGAAACAGGAACCTGCTTTCGTCTGATAAATTCCTGGTACTCTGTCACAATACAATAATTTTCCAAAACAGAGATTCAGCAGTTTGAAACCAATAACCAGTGGATTTAATTGCGTTCATGTATTTAACAGAAAAATCACGTTACATGTTACTGGCGGTTTCCAAAACTCGGCTTTAGGAAATATGGGCAAATTTGCTTTTCATGATTGATTGCAAGTGAATATCAATCGATCCATATTCTCTTACCACTGAAGAGTTTACTAATAAAAATTCAAAAGTTGTTAACCAAAAAGTGGGGATGATATGTTGAATAATTTTTATATGGGGTTTGACGATGAATCATAGTCTTCTTTGGTCCCCACAAATAAGACTGAGAACTGAGACAGTAAAATACCGGCCAACCCGGTGTGCTCTGCATTTACGGACATACTCAATATCACATTACATGCTTGTTTAAGCATCTACAAACATTAGCGACAAGCTAATGAAACAATGAACACAGATCATTGTCAAGTGCTTCTCTGCAGAAAAAAGTGAGATGATGATTGAACTGTCCCGATATGATCGGCTATTCATCCTGACTGAAAAGCATGTGGTCAGGTGTTTTAAGATCGCTTATTTCACGGTGCATTGTTGTATTTCGTCCCGAATTTGTGCAGACGGATTGGCAGATGAACACAATTCACACCGTAAAAGTCATCGATCTATTGCCACTACGCATTGTGAAAATTCACTTCCCCAGAATGATTGATTACCTGTTGAGGTTTTTTGCCTTGTCTCACCACGGCTCACGAGTGGCTGTTGAATTAGCCGTACTATTTAACGACAGTACTTATTAAATAGGCAAATTTTATTCCGAAAAAGCAGGTGGTATTTCTGGGTACAGAAAACATCAAACATCACGTCGGACAATATTGTTTTAAGTTTTATCGTATAGGTAAATCTAAATCTGGGGCGATGTGAGCGTGAAAATGTGAATGTTGAAATTTGAATGCAAAACACTACATGGCAACGCAACAAAAGGCACACTTAACAAATCGAACACACCCCAAATCGGCCATGATATAAAAGGATGACTTCATCAGCAATGAGTATTGTTAGCCACGCTAAAACAGTTTCTAATATGTACCCCGTCAATAATTCCGAAAGCGCTCTACACCGTTTGATGTTCAAATAAAAAATTTGCCCATATAGTAAAGTGGCTTGTTTGTACAATGAAACGAAATATTTTCCAATGCCACCAGTTTTCGTCGCAGTGACTGACAGAGAACGTTTGAAAGTTTTCTTCAACGATCATAGTTGTGTAAAATGGCATTTCACACATCGTTAGAAATGAAATAATTTTTCAGATATGCCGCCCTGAAAGAGTACTTCTGAAGCAGTGCCTTTGGGCTCAGCCTGCCCACTGCTGATCGGAGACTGCTCGACTTTGGATGGATCCGCGTTTTGTCAGTTACTTATGCAGGCTTTTTTCATTCTGGAAACAAGTTTCTGATTGTGAATTTGTGATGGTCGTTCGCTGATCTGTTTAGGGTTCATTACACTACACACAAAGCCGTTTTGTTCAGATCGTAGATACATTTCCTTTCGGGCGATTTGTTAATTTTTAGGAATTTTTCCATGGGTTTTTTGTAAGTAGACGATAATCAGCGAGAATAATAAAACAGTAAGTGAATGAGCGCAATCTACAACCGTTTTTGGACCAAACCGGAATAACGGACGCCCAGTGCATTAGTTAGCATATCTTTGGTTCCACACTACTTGAACTTAACTCTCCTTCTAGTGTTGTGTTTTGAGGATACTTCCTCCTATTAAAACTTATTGATTGATGTAAGAATTAATTTCTGGCCGTCTGGTATAGCAGGTGATCCAGTTATCTACAATACAAAAATCACCCTAAGCCTACCCAGTTCAGCATCAGAGTGAATAGACATATTTAAGCCCGATTGGTGTGCGTAGTTGACTCTACATTTAAAAATTCATTTATGCATCAACTTTTGAAGGTGGAAAACGTTTACCTTTGTGGCGTTTTCCGGGATCCCCACAGCTGGCCTTAGTCACTATTGCTCGTTGCCTGAGAGAAACATCACCGCCTGTGCAATGATATCTTGAGGGCACGAGATAAAAATTAAAAAAAGCCCCTGTAATGAGACCCGTTGACCCAAAAGCACGGATCACTTGTCTGGCCCATTTTCAAAGAAGATATCCCTAGACCTCGCTACAATACGTAAAATCTTCGATTTTGGCAAAACACTCGTGCAGTGTAATTTGTCGCAAAGCACTATGTGTCCATATTTCATGACGGGTTTTGTTCTATACAAGATAAGCTGCAGCCTAAAAACCACAGACTTTACAGACTTCTACATATACCTGACCGAAAGCAATGAAATATAATTTTCTGAAAATGTTGAATCAGTTGAGGACTTTCGAAAAGAGTGAACGTATGATTTGACTTCTGTGGTTTCACATGTATTTCAACACGATAAAAATTCCCTATTGAACTAAGAAACAGAAATACTCCTGACTCAAAAATATGTGGTTACCACTCAAACATGAGTCAAGAAGCCAACTTTAACACAGAAGTTGCTACCTAAGTATAAGTTGCCGGTAAACCGGACGGTGTTCCGAAAGCAAGCGTTGAACTTTCACGGGAAATGCTGGCGAATTTTCCGGCATAAAACCAAGGGAACAGCTAGATGGTTTTTACGTGTCTTAAAAAAATCCCAATCGAGTTTTTGAATATGACTGCGCAACCAGGGCCGCGAACGTGCGCAATGTGTGTCACTGATGCGATTGACTTGCAGACTCCATCTTCTGCGCCGAAAACTCTCGTGAACTTGTAGTTATTGCTTTAAATTTCATCTATAGTTGCACTGATGTTTGCGTCCAAAATGGCCAGCAAAAATTTATCAGAAACCACACCTAATCTAACTCTCAGGTTTGCTATACTATGGCCTTACTTTGAAAAGCCATAAACTCTCCAAGCACGTGTAAGTATTTTCCACCATATCAAATGTGTTGCATGAAAACTGAGCTCTCTCACCTATGTTAGAGTCGACTTTGTGATAAAACGTCGATAGCTTTGTTCGGCCTACCAGTAGCAGAGCAATATCAGGTTGTTCCTGTTTAGGTCAAAAACCACAGAGATTGCGCACACCACCGTTAGCATTTTTAGCCTGCCAACCTTTGGCAACCTCTGAGAGATCAACGTTGTTTACTACGGTCACCAAAACGCGCAATGATTTTGACCACACATATGGCACCTTTTTTACATACTTACACTATTGAGCGCGTTTGCTGTGTTGGAAACCAACCCTCGATTTTAAAAGAGAGTGGAATGCATGCCGCCATTTTCACAACACCAACAAGGGAAATGGTCGAAGGATGCGCCGTAGGCTCATCAACATTTTCAGTGTACATACTCTAGGTTTGTCGGGAACCGATGCATATGTAGTTTGGTTTTGTGGATTTGGGGGAACGACCGAACTGCAAATAAGGAACTCAGCCAAATTGGCTGGGCTTAACATAAACAGTTCGCCGTATCAAATAAAAAACCTATGCGTTTTGTGGATGCAACAGTGTACTTTGTATTCTGAGATGACAGCATCTCATAGCTTTTTTGGTCTCTAAAGAAATGTCCGGCGTTGTGAGCGGCTTTTCTTCAAGGCATTTATCTCAGGCTCAGGCTGAATGCTGAATTCATTTTATAGTTTCGGTCTAATGGTGACACTTTGTTACACCTCAAAATTACAACCAGGCAAAACTGGTTTTTAGTGTAGTGGTAATTATAGCAGTGGTATACAAACACAGACAAAAGGTTTACTCCCAACCAACAAAATACAGTCCGTTATTTCTGTCCGATCTTGTTTCAATGACAGGAAAGAGCCAAAACGGAATAGGTATTCTTTAGGGTATTTTGTATTTTGGGAGCTAGATGTACAAATGGGTAAGGGTTAATTACTTCTGCCTGGTCAAATTTAACAATGAAAAAAACAGAACTTGCGTGTTTACGAGACAAAAGGAAACAAATGATACCTGGGATAGTTCATGATCTACGTTAATTTAAATAACCTGTCGTAAGTAATGTTTCACATACCATCTGCAAGACTACTCAGTATTTTATGAAACCAAAGAACGCACGTTGGCATTTGCTCGACTTTAGTCAAGTCTATCACCACCTACCGCCACGCTGAAACAAAAACAAAGGCTTGCGTCACCATTTGAATTATAATGTTATTGCGTTCGTTTACATTTCAGTGCGATACCACTTTTATTCTGGAACTAAATCTTTATAAATCCATTATGTGTGACGTCTCAAGCTCAAAAGGTTTCTGTGCTTTGTGTTCCTTTGACTGTCCATATATTCCATTCTTATCGTTTTCTACACCACTACCTTCACAGACCTTGAAATTCCGGATGAAAAGGGAAACTACCCGTCCCATCTCGCCGCGATTTCTGGGAATCTGGAGACATTTGAATACCTCGTTGATTTGAATATTGATATGAGCAGAAAAAACAACGAAGGTTTAGAACCAATCCATTTCCTTGCGATGCATGATTATCTGGACCTGCTGAACGTATGTTTTCTTACTGATTTTACAGTCAGAATGTCAAGAACAAATCACTATTTGAAAGCGATTAATCTTTTTCGTTACAGAGGCTTCTTGAGCTGGCTCAAGTTGACATAAACGCCTCGGGAGAGGGCGGATCAACACCAATCCACTACTGTTGTATACACAACAGTGTACGATGCCTGGAGACATTGGTAGGTTTATCGAGCAAAATTTCTATCGTCAACAACCTATGAAGCTGAAATCTCTACCGTGTTCAAGAATACACCATGCTTTTCCAATTTACACCAACTAAGCGTCCCAACCTTCCATGTTTTTACGACCCTAGATTGCTCACGGCGCAGATATGTACAAGGCAAATGATCGTCAAACTTATCCCATCCATGCTGCCTTGGAAAACGTCAATCGCAAATGTATCGAAGTGTTATTTGCCGAAGAGCGAAAACAGAGGGGTAAAGGACAACCTACTCCCAAATTTCTGCTTGTTGTTAATGAGAATGAAAAGCCTGAAAGAGGAAGCAGGCGATGGAGCTTTCGAAGACCAAGCATTTCTCCATCTAAAGAGATGCCTCAAACGGTAACACTGGTCAACCACATTAACCTGGTTGATAGTGAGGGAGATACACCACTTCACACTGCTGTTAGATCAGGCGACTTAGAACAAGTAAAGGTAAGAGGATGACTTTACGACGCCAGTGCTCTTATGTTAGTCCATCTAGGAAAAAAAATAGCATTAGCCTATTATGTTAAAGTTAGATAATTTATTTTTCAGTTTTCTGGGGTGATATATCAACGCGATAGAAATGCGGATACGTTTATAATTGAAGCTTGACATACCTTCTAACGCAATTTAATACAACTTGTGTTTAATCACTCCTCTTAGGGGTTGAGGATTTTGCAGAAACAAATTAAGGAATGTGCTGTGCAAACAAAACGTCATTGCAAAACAAAATGCCTGTTACTTTCATTTTGCAAATTTTCGCGATTCACCTGTTTTATCTGGTTCGCCCTGTACCTCCATTTATTTCCAACCGTTCGGCACTGAACTATAGGCCTGACTACACTCCGAACTACCTAGGACTTTCTGTGAAAAAAGGTCTCTTATTGCAACTTATAGGGCGATTATCATTGCCAGTTCAGTATACTCCTCGACCATGGGTAATTTGCTCAAAAATAAGTACATTATCGTCAAGCCGGCTGAATGCGCAAAGGGTAGACACTATTCCGTCTTTGGCTTGCAAATTTCAGGCACTGCACTTCACTGGGAACAAACGTATTCGACTCAGTCCCAAGATGAATATAAACGATACCGTAATCCTTAGGAAAACAGGTGATGCCGCCAATTTCGCTTACTCTGAAATGGCAGTCTTTTTCCAGTAAAACTGAAAGTGGCTTTCACAGCCAGTACACAATGGGGATGCGTTTCTGTTGACTTCGAACTTAAGCTCACATTTAAACGCTGCTGGATGGACCTTGGGCGTCGTTGAACTCACCTGTGGCTGAGATTAGGCACTTCGTAGTTTAATACAAAGTGTATTGTTTTTGTTAAGAAACGACTGCTTGCCGTTTATTCTACTTTACCTCACTATACTTTTGTGCTTGGAAGAATACTAATTTAGAAGTATTTTCACGGAAATTTTCTACATAAATGGACTATTGCTTTGTGCTACACAAGATTTTTTCTTGGTTATCATGCTGCGCATAACCCTTAGTAAAAGGTACGCGGTTTTTACCTGGATAATAAATTAACCCTTAGAAAAGGTACGCGGTTTTTACCTGGATAATAAATTTAACCTACGCAATCGGTGGGATGTGGTCCGTACGAAACAGGTATCAACCGCAGTCTCTGGGCTTCTTCTTGAAAGCATGGTTACGTGAATTCAGTAAAAACTATTTAGTGCTGGTCAGACCTCGAACAAACTAACAAGTTACACGGATTTTGAAGCAATTGTATTAAGGCAAAAGCTATCAGATCAAACTACTGGGTAAACCGTTTAAAGGCATCATTTTAGGTCATCCTCCCCATCATCCGTGGAGGTTTCAGTATGTTTCCGTAGGCGCACATTCAATATTACCCATTGTAGTCAGTAAGTTTGTTCACCAGTCTTAAGCCACATGATTTTTCCCTGAAAGTTCATCCATTTATAGCTCGAATTTAACCGGTTTTGCAACAACACTCTTCCGGGTTTTTTGCTTTTAGAGGTGAAGAATGCATCGATCTATGGGCTATAGACTTACACGAAACAACGTCTGATTAAACGTTACAGTTTGCGATGGGTTGGCCTGATAACTAGAGCCAAACAGGCAAGTGATAAATTTTGGACAGCTGATTTGAAGGCAATGAATGAGAATGGAAAACAATTCTTGAATTCAATCGGCATATTCGCTCATTGGCGTGCGCATACCAGGTTACCAAAAAACTTTTCGAATGGCTTGCATGATGTTAACCTGAGAAAAGTGATTAAGTTGGTAGTTTGACGAGATTTCTGGATTTTGAAATGATACTTCTTCCTATGGGGAAACCAATCCATGCTGATAAGCCGAGAAGCGCTTTGCGGGTGCATCATTCATATCCGGAGTCATCAGCAGTGCTTCTAGCAAGAAACTCGGATCAATGGTGTTGATTCCATTATTGAAGGACGACTGACACCATAATCAATTTACGTGCGCGTTATGTACAAAGCTGATCAGGCGCTTGTGGCCGGAAGTTCTTAGGCTACCGGCTGTGAAGTCACATGTGAAAAACTTCATGACTTTCTGTGGGCCACTGGTGAGAGAGAAAGATTCATCAAGCTACTGTATTCAGCAGTGCAAGCTAATTTGGCCTGGCCATGCTTTACGCATGCAGAATTACCACTATGCAAAGCAGAGTGCTGTTATTCGTGCCTGATTTGTTGTAGTGAAGGTGGATGTAATTTTACATTACAAAAGGAAGTGAAGAATGTTACTGAAATTCTGAGAGTTTTTTGTACTCTTCGCCTTCCGAAAAGAGACCCACGTGAAACTCCCTATGTCTTACTGGATACACCGGACGATGTGGCGCCTAACTGACGTCATTTGCGTTCGTTCTGTCAGTTTCTATCCAGAATGTCTGATTGTAAGCTGGAAGTGTTGGAACCTCTGGTGTTCGTGGTAGACTAGCCCAAGATTACATCCCTGCTCCATTTTTCTTCTTTCCATCATATAGCATCATTCAGGTAAATTGACATGGTGTTAAAGTGCTGTTGCTGTCATTGATAACGATTATGTAGATTTGGAGGGTACGCACTTTGAAAAATTTTCAATAATGGTGGAGCAAACGTACAGTACGTTTGGGCTTTACGGAACGAAATAAACCAGTTACAGGACCCAATCTTAGTTGTAAAGCAAACTTACCTGGAAGTCATCTGACACTTATGTGACCCTCGCCTCTCCACATTAGTAACAAATCTGCTGCTTAAAAATGTTGGAGCCGAAGAGCAGTTTATTTAGGTCTTTATGTTGTCATGCTCGAACTCCAAAATTCGTGCCAGTTAACCTGAAAATATTTTCCACTAGACCTATTGTTCATCGAGTTCTTTAAAATGTAAGTTGATTGGTGAAATAAATCGTTGGCAGAAAATGTAAGAGCACTATTCATCTCAGCTGTTGGGGCATATTTGTAAGATACAATTCGAAAAGTGGCCAGTGTAATAGTAATTTGCATTTTTCTCATGCTGTTTTTTCAGCTTTGCTTAGATCACGGTGGGGACATTATGGCCGTACAGAATGACCAGGAAACTCCAGTCCATTACGCTTGTTCAAAGAGTGATCTTGAATGTGTGAAGTTGATGCTGGAAGCTCGTCCAAATCAAATAGAACTATGCTTGGCCATGGTCAATCGAAGTGGCTATACTCCACTACATATTGCAACGTTGTACGATCACGTACCACTGCTGGAATACTTGGTCAAGCAGGTAATACTGCAATATGTATTATTTGGTAAAAATGGCTGTCAGGGCGAGTGTGGTTGCTTGTGTGGGGGAAATGGAAACTGGTAGAAGGTTTAAAATGACTGTGCTCAAATGGTGAAACTTTCCGTCGTATTGTTCCGCTTTAGGACATTAGGAGGTAGTTCCTTGACGTATATCCAACAGAAAGACTGTCTAGGTAGTTACTGACTTAACGTCATAATTATACTCCAAAATGGTGTTTCATTAGAAAAGCGAAACTTGTGATTGTGACAGTTCTGTTTATAAACGTCCAACTTACACATTATTCCACAACTTCGTTTCAGATTTCGTTCATTTATTAGTCAAATGTCACTCCTTTGCCATCGTAAATGTGTTTGAGAGATGACCGTAATATAAGTTAGGGCAACAAAGATTGATCAAAGACTGCCATCATGTTGCAAAAATTGAAATAGATAATGTACTAAACGAGCTCAAAATGAATGAAGTTCCCTATCAGGAAGTCTCTGGTAGGTAAATGGTCACATAACACTATCGCCCAAGTAGCCGGCAGCACGAGTACTAACCACCAATAACTTTAGAATTCTTGTGGAAATAATTCACATGGTGGTCAGATTCCTCTTTCTTATCAAATCTGTTAGGTCTGCTGGCGGTTTGTAATTAGGATTAAACGCAGTTGCAATAAGCTCGGAGGGCTTTATGTCTGGTAATGAGACTAAGACAGATTGCGTAGTCATAGGCCACTGTCGCTTCTAGGAATTCACAGAAATTTGTTTGGACAATTAGGACAGTTGTCTTGCTTTTTAGCCAACACCGCTGGATTTACAGGGGTAAGTGGATTGATTATACATTTTGGTATTGTCTGGGAAGTAGCCTGTCTTTCACCTCATATCCGAATAGTGCATGATTCGTAAAGGATAGAGGCAAGCTGGCTGCGTAAATGTTCTTTCGAATACTTTCGGACCTTAACCTGGAATACATTTGGGTATTACTGAATGATGTACGTTTTTCTACTACTAAGGACCACTCACGTTGGAGACTCGCAATTTAGGTGCTTCATAGGGAACCTGTCTAGATTCCCGTCTTTTATAAAATATTTGGGCAGCGGTCCAGCCCCGGGACCTATTAAATGGACACGGAGACTGAAATAGTGTATTTTCTGACATCACTGTTTCTGGATTTGTGATGCCTGCAAATAATATATATAGAAATACCTGACCGTTTGCTTGCGTCCAGGACGATCATTCCTATTATTAAGACCTCAGAAACCTGAACACCGATCTGCACTGCTACCATAACAGTGCCCACCTTATACTAAGTTCGTGTTATATTTTCGGTAAAACTTCGACCTAATTCATATAACGTTAATCGTTGTAATGCATGCGACTGTCATTCTGCTGGACATTAGACCAAAACAATCCTACTCCATCTGACCCACGTAATACTCCCTTGATAAACAAATGTGGGTGCGTTGGTGATATACGTGTTTTTGTTCAATAATGCACAGAGCATCATATGCATATTCTAAAACTCTATGACTGACGATCATTGTAATCTGACAGAATGTGGGGGAGAGCTACTGTGTTTCATCTGTCATATACAATACGAGCACTCACGCGCGCACGTCATGTGCCTAGAAGAGATTTTCCTCAATATCAATTACGTCAAAGCGCAACGCAGATTTTCCACAGGCGACTTATTCGAAATTTGTCGGATTGGGCATCGTTGCACTTCAACTGCTAATCAGCATTTCTGAAAAAAAGTCTTGCATATTTTTCTTCAGGGCGCCCCAATTGATGCCACCGATTCAACTGGTCTTACTGCCTTATTACTTGGAGCTAAAAAGGGATCATATAGGTCCTGCTGCCGTTTGATTGACCTTGGAGCAAACGTATCGTCCAGCGACGCGAACGATAGGAATATTGTACACTTGATGATGCTTCACTATCAATCAGGGATACAGGGTATGATGCGAATTTTCGAAATGGTAAGTAAAAAAGGCGATGTTAATATAAATGCCTTTTGTTTTCACGTTAGAAATTGAAATCAGATCGGTTGGAACAAACAACAATATTTTTCAATGGCTTACGTATTCGTGACACCTGATTGCGTCATCAGTTCTACTGTTTCTAAGTTTTGAGGTTTAGACACGTATATTTAGACACATATATTCAACCAATAGCTGAGAATTTGAGGAGACAGATTTAATCTACGTGCATGCCCAGCTTCATGAAGATTTTGGTAGACTGTATGTATTGATCGTTCTTGTCATTCTCCGACGCTAACTCATGTGTTCTAGCAAGTCTAAACAGACTGAAAAGCAATCAGCAAGACTTCGGCAGTGATTAAAACACAGCCTATGGGAATTTACAGCTCACCCGAATTTTTGTCGTGAATGACTATGGTACCGCAAATTCTACAGCCCAAGAAAGTTTGCAATATTTATGTAAATTTACGTAGACTAACAACTAATACTTAGCCTCTTCTCGAAATCGACGGTTACAATTTAGTGCATAGTTCAAAACTTCTTTGTTTCACCAGCAAACAAACTGTATTCAGGATTAGCACGCCTCAAAAAAGGTGAGAACTGAGGCTCTTGTTCCTGAAGGGACCAAAAACGAATTATGTGTGTCACATATATTAACACTTCCGTTGGTTTGTCCATTAATCTTGCTGACTTGGCTGCAGAATTTTCATCGACACTGTAGGTAACTTCACCAGTGTGATTTGAATGAAAGTACTATGAGATTGGATTAGCGTGACTGTTGCGACTACACATCCTTCACCAAAGTGAGGAAAATTAAAGCTTTTCCAATATTTAGGTGTTTCAACCTGATCGTTTGATGCTTGACCTGGACTAAAGCTTTCAGGTGCCCTCGATAATCCATCAAATAGTTACGTTTTCAATTGGCAGCGTACGATAAAAGTTGTAATTACAAACGCATCAAACTATTTAACGAGAATGAAATGAAAAGCTGATATACATACTTGAATTAGGTAAATTTATTTAACATTTTCAGATACCTAAATTTTTCCAGTTTTTTAAGTAGGGTGAAATCAAATCATTTTCGAGAGATTTCGGTCCATGTTTACGGAGTCCTATAGATAGAATTTTGCGGATTGAAGGACCGCTTATAACCTACGATTTGTATACTTGAGCTATGTACATTAACTGAAATATTTGCTGTCCCGCACAGGCCGGAGATCCTAACGTAGCTTGGCGAATATGGAATATGATAAATAGCGAACTAATCTCTTCCAATCCAGTAATGAGGAGCCCAAATGCAGCTTTCTGAAAAAAGGAATTGGATACATGTGCGATTTGACATTTCTATTCAATTTGCCAGAGGAAAGATCAAAGAAGAGAGAAGATGCTAGATTTTCTGGATGGTAGCGTGGTCATGCGTAGAAACATGAGGCACTATTTGTACTAATTTTGAGTTTCTACGTCCTTATTCAGACGTGATCAGTGATGAATGCTTACAATGCGAAATGATGTGTGTCAGTTTATCTATGATAATTTCTCCAATCAGTTGAGAACTCATCCTCCTTAAGAGAAACGCTTAGAGAATAAGAAGGAAGCCTCCTATAGCGAACGCTGTATCAGGGTATTACAGGAAATTTTGTCACTAATTTTTTTCTTGGCACTCACTTGACTGAGAACAGAAAGAAACAAAGTGCTAAACCTTTTGCTCCTTACCTACGGCAGCACCAGTTTTCCTGAAATAAATAAGTTTCGGTGAAACGTATGTTCACCAAAATATATAGCTCAGGGGAAATTTCCACAGTGTCTATTTCTATGAGTCTGCTAATGGATTAAAACAACCAACTTTTCCACTAGTTTATGTGCGGGGTTTGCTGTACTTTTGTTTTCTGATCCTCTTCACTCATTCCACAAACATTCCCACATTATTCATCAGGAACCACATCGTAAGAAACCAATAAACAATACGGCGATCAAAAGCATTAGCTAAAAGATTATGGTTGCGGAAAAAGTAACAATTTACTCTCAGTTTCCGGAATCAAGTTTAATCTGGGGGCACAACATGTATCCAACATTTTAATTAACAGTGGCTTGCAGAATGCATTCAGGTATTGTGGAGATAAGTGTAGACCTCATCATGTTGGATGCGTGTACCGGGAAACCTGTTTTCAATCTGAGCTTCGTTAATGTGACTGCGACTATGGTTGACGATAGACCCGAAAAGATACATTCACTTGGTATTGTCCCATTTTAAGTATTAGCCAGGGTATTTTTCAATAATCTACCCAAATAACTAACAATCTCTCTTTTCTTGGCGTATTCCCCCTAGTCCTTGGTTTCTGAGGATCTTGTTTTTAGGAAAGATAGTTCTGGTTGCACACCTCTCCACTACGCAGCAGAACATGGACGCCACTGTATGGTTAGCAGTCTCTTACGTTTGGGTGTGACAATTCTGGATCGAAACGCCGATGGTGACACGCCAATGCATCTAGCTGCGCAACATGGAAGGAATAAAGTTGTACAATACTTACTGGAATCACCTGAGGGTATTCGAGCTTTGTACCAAGAAGACATGTTGGGACAGAATCCCCTACATCGGGCCGTGACCCAAGGACATGTACATATCACCGAAATGTTGCTGGAAAAGGGCGGGATATTCCGAAAGTAAGTTACTGTTCTTCTTTGCGTGGTGACACCATCGAAACTGTCCTTAACTCGGAAAGAACTAGATAACCTGATAGTTTGTTCAAAGTTTACTGCCAGTTGCACATAACAGTAGAGTAGGAATAATTATGAGGTACATTCGGTAGATGGAAATGACGGAGACATTTCCAACCCTTCACAGGAACGCCTAGACAAAAACCCTGTTTGTGGGAGCTCTGGAAGCACACATAGCTCCCACCAACCGTTTACCTGGATGAGCAATATAGCATTGTATGTGCAGTTACAAAATTCGTCACGAAAAGTGATTTGTAAATGCTAGTCAGAAAGCAGTTTTAAGCAAACTAATTTTGCCAAAATATGGTTACTTGTTTTATCGAAAATCCTGGAATATTAAAGTTTTTTTTGGATGCGACATAACTTTTCTAGTTCAAAGTAAATCATGTAATCAGCCAAAATTGTTTGCTTGTGATATTCTCATGATTCTCATGCATTATAATATTATGTCTGTCTAACTGCAGTAAACTGTGGTAACGTACAAAAATCTACACAGGAATCTTACAGGAATAAAACACTTCCCGTACCTGACCCAAAGAAGAACATTCTACTGCATTTACCCCACAGGTGAATGCCATAAAATACCTAGCATTTCACTGAAAGTAACCTAATTACCGAAATTATTGTTTTCACCTTGATAAAAAACTATCTTATCCACCATAACTTGTTTTAAATTAACCATCATGTTTGAATTCTTACTGGACCACAATTACCATGGAATACAACAGGCCACCTACTTGCCAGGAATAACATAATATCCTTTACCGAAATCTCATTTTCCATTGGATTTTTATTCTTCTATGCTCTAACCGAGACACTTAAACTCCACTGTTCCTGGCGGCTGACTTTCGACTCTCAACCGGCATGGTTCGGGTGCATATAAATGGCAGCTGTGAAGATTTTACAGGACAAATCGCTTTCCGCTGCAGAAATGCATGCGGTTCGTTTAACTGCAATGCAGCTAAAATTTAGCAGAAAATCCACCACCATATCTTTTTCTCCGGAGCCATTAATAGGCATAGTCTCTGGTATAAAAATAACCGATCTCTGCCTCGAAAAGCCAGGCTTTAGATTTCATTCATGTGTTCAAATATACAATGGAGTAATTCTATAACCTGGGGGCCACATATAACTGACGACCGCCAAAATGTAGTAACTTGTGGGTATTCCTTAACTTACGTGCAGCCATCACTCGGTAGGTGTATCAACACAATAAAAACCGCATTGAATATCTTCGCAGCAAACCTCCTGGCGGCCTGTTTATTGTACATTACACAAAAATACCCATATGCTATTTGCTACGGAAGAAGCCACTAACCCTCCATTTTAATCGCTTTCAAAATGGTCGAGTTCAAGATAAACTTCCAGCCAATTTGCTTTTTAAACCAAGGATTGTTTTCCTCCACCTCTGAGGAATAGTTCAAACTGATAAATCCCACAGACGGCTACTTTGACAGTGTACTGTGTATTAAGTCTGAAGACTTGTCCAATACTTTCGATTTTGAGAACATTTTGTACTTAAAAAAAATTCTACTCAATATTTTAAGGACTTAAGAGATATTTTGCAGCTAAATGTTGATGGAGTTCAGGCCGAAAATAATACGCGTGGATTTATTCGTCCTCACTACGATGTCCCCGCTACGCAAATAACCCTATTTAACAAATCTTTCAAAATATCCAAGGACAAAACAGGGCTCCTCTGTACATGGTTTGATAAGCATCTTTATTCTATGCTGTCTGGCGTAAATATTATTACGTAGCTTTCTGAAGAGCCTACGTGTATCTTCACTTTCTTGATGTGTCCAAATTACGACTTTCAGGCAGTTTATTGTTTCCGAACTTTCACGATGCGCGACACTTGTACATTGCACTAGATTCGAAAGCCGAGTTATCTGTCTACCTAGATGTGCAGCCCTCTATGGATTAGTCGACCAACAATTCAAAAAGTTTATGTCTCCATCAGGAATAGAATTATGCAGGTAGTGGAAGCAAACCGATCAGGTATACTGGCCTGAGGAAACAGGTTGCCCCGAATAACTGCCGATTTCTTAAGACTGTGTTCCTAAATACATATTTTGAATGAAATTTACTCCCGTTAGTCATACCTTGTTTCAGATTAACACCTTTGCGGTTCTAGTCTAAAACGATTTCTGTATTATCAGCTGCTGGAGTTCAAACATTAGTTTGTGGAACTGGACTGCTGAAGGGGATTTGTGATGCGTCCTGGACGCACACCTCGCGGAAGAATTACACATGGCCACCTTGAGCAAAATAACGTTTTCTTTAAAAGCATTTCGTTGCAACTTAACAACACAAAAAACACCTGATTAATTTCTACATGGCGTGCTGTGGAAAGTAGCCTTTTTGAAACCATTGTACGCTCACTTTTATTTCATCCTTTGGAGCATTGTTTTTACCATCCTTTCTACATGCGGTTCACTCCATTTATTACAGCCATGGATCCGGTGATGAAATGTATTAATCCATATAATCTAGTTTTAAAACGAGTAGAGCAAAACAGTTTCGACTTTATGCTAGTTCTTTTATTTTATTTCTTCAGATGTCACGCGGGCAATTCACCTCTCCATTTGGCTGCCCGATGCGGACAGCTAGAAATCTGTCAGGTGCTTTTAAAATTAAGTCCTGCAATGTTAGATCAGGTCAACTTCGAAGGAGTAAGTTATTGAGATTTTGATCACCCATGCGATCTGTCTTTTCAGTTTGTAGCAGCTACTTTAAGCTTCGTTTTTGGCGCTGTTGGTTTGAACTTCTTAATCAGTTCTGCAGGCAAAAAAGTGAGAATTGAAGGCTTGAAAGGAGGAATAAAATATCCCTGAGACAGAATCCATGGATGAGTTGCAGTGAGAATCAACGTCTGGCATCTGAAAAGGATTCTGAGTTGGTCATTTATACCCTAAAGTAGGAAACATATAACGTAAGCAGAGGTGTTTGACAACTAAGCCTTTCAAATACCATGTTGGGACTCTTTTTCGGAACCTGATTTTTATTTTTAGTGTATGAATATAACTGTATACGTGATTAGCACGAGACGGAGCACAGGAAATGCTTCGGGAAAAGTTGTTAGTCAATTTAGGCTAACTTATTTTAAGTTGTAGATTTAGAGTAATATAGCTCATGGATATTGGCGACCCTAGCAAGTCACGAAGTGCATTTTGAATTTTGGCATAATTTGAGGAATTAATGGCCACACTTTCATCAATGAAAAATGAGATTAAATTGTGAGGCAAACTTAGAATATAAACCGCATGTCCATGAAATAAACTGCGAAAGTGTGAGTTGCCTAAAACCAGCTTTTTCAATTCCAACAACCGTTTATTCTGCCGTAGTTTTCAGTAATGCAAGATAATTTAACGCAGCTATGCGAGACCTATTTGATGTCTCTACTAGCACATTAAAACACGTTACATAACGGATCTAAATCACTTATTGACCGAAACCATCTCTCAAACATTGTCTTTATGACGTAGTTGGAGGCACAGCATTTATATCTATGTTACATAAGGGCCTCAAGAGAACCATTGTTTTCCGTGATATCATTCCGCAATAACACCCTTTCGGTGCCCGAATGTAGCCATGATGGTTGAAATACTGGCACGTGGTCAACGCCCAGTTAGAGGCGGTCAGAACATCGAGAGTGTGTATGAACTACAGACCCTTTGCCTTAACTTTGCGCTATCTCAAGTTCTGTAATCTGTGGTAATCGTGGTCAAAATAAGTTGTGATAGCTGACGAAAAATGTGATTATTCCACTTGTACAACTACACCATGTACATCCTCACTGGTACAGATACGTCCCAAATTAGAATTTAATAAACCATTTGGTCCCAAATGAAGGTTGTAAAAATTTCGAGTAAAACTGACTTAGCCGAGAAATTTCACTGCATTAACTGATCCAATAACAAGTTTAAAGATTTGACAGTAATTAAGTTTAAAGTTGCATTTCTCAAGTATTGTCATGTCGTGTTTTCCCTTCGTAGCTTACTGCACTGCATTTTGCTGCTACAAACGACTGCAGTGAAGTTGTGGACTTTCTTCTCACTTCGGGTGCGCAAATAGTCCCATCGAATGACGGAGTCTACTTCGTAACAGACGCACTGAATAGAAGACATTACAACACTCTAAAAGCTATCATTATGCATCAGCGGTAAGCGCCACGTCCCTTTCACAGTTTAGTTTGGACAGAACAGCGTTGAATTTTGATTCAAAAAAGTAAATTTGGCTTCGGCCCATAGATATTTTTATTTGTTATAGCGGTACGAGAATTAGGCAACACAATCCATAGTTCCGGCGTAAATCTGCACATGAATCAAAATACGAGTTAAAGTAATACATGCAGTAACCAGGAGTTGTATTATGGTTCAGTAAGGGATCAATAATACCAAAAAATCCGTTTTGGCTCTAAAGATCTAAGACGCACAAGGCTTTTCTTCTGAATTTAGACTATTCAAGCAAGATCACTGTGTGACCAACAGTATCGGGGGATCGAATGCACGAGTGTTTGCATTTGGTTGGTTTGTTTTGTCTGCTGATTAGATGAAATGAGAAATACACGGACAAAGTTAAGTACACTAGATATAAAACTCTGGTCAGCGGACGCGTTGACCTTCTACAAGTAGCCTGGAACCGTTACAGGAGCGGTCACATAGTATAACCAGTTACGCCAATCTGATGATCTTCACTAAGAACATAGGAACCGAAGCTTCAAAATATTCGTTCTATGTTGCCAGCCTATGCTTTCATAAGTCCGAAGCTTTTCAGTCATCAACAAGTACAGTGAAGTTAGTGTGACCTTACAAACAGAATCCCAGATAGGCGTCATCTTATGAAAAGGACGCACAGGCTGTTATATCTCATTTCAATTATCAGGTTCTTCACAAATACCGTGGATTACAATGCTAAACACTCCAAATACTGAAAACGAGTCAAATTGATCCGACAACCACGTACAAGAGCCGCGCCTTCAACTTTATTTAAACTGTTGGAAAGTCAATTTTTCGGCATCTGGTACGCTCTGCATTAGCGTGTACGGTCTCTATGCACTTGCTGAATATTACAACAGTAGCCTTTCTCCCAATCGCTTTTCAGGCGACTTTTCATTTGAAACAATCCGGGTTTCGCATACATACATGTACATAGCAACACTCAGCAGCACAATGGTTTACGAATCCGAATATAAAACTACTCACGGGAAAGCTTAGCTCATCCAGCATTGCAGGGCAGGCATAACTGTCTGGACCGTATTTTCGAGAATTTTACGTAAAGTTTCAGCAGCTTAGAAAAAACCCATTTCAGAAATATTTTCAATGAAAAATGGAGGTGTAAACCAACACATAATGAACAACTTTCATGCGTGTTTGCTTCATTATTTCGGAAAATCAGACCGGTAGTTGTGCGATAATGCGCTCCAAGTCTTCAACAACCATGTAAGATGTTGTATTAGATGGTTTAAGTTCACAGACACTTCATCGGCTGGTAAGGCAAAATGGACTTTCTCTGTGGTCACTAAGCCCAAGTGTATCGTGTTAACTTGTGACCCAAAAAAAGCATATTTGATGGGTTTTCCGTAGCTTTTACAGATTCATCCACCCAGGAATTTTCAAATGCTCACGGTGTGGTGCACAATCATTTTTATTTTGCTACAGATGGCCAGAAATCTGGAACCAGTTTGACGGTACAACACACTGCGTATTAGATGGACTAATACGAGAAATTCCATCCCTTTACGCGGTATGTCAAAAAAAATAATTTGTCTCTTTTTTGCTTGGTCGATCTGACAATTCGTGACAGTTAAAATATTTCTGTTGTTTCGATGATTATTTTTTGTTCTCTCGACAGCTGGTCATGTCACAAAGTATAACGCGACAAAAGGATGAAAGGACGGGGACTAGAACGGTGAGCGAAAATTGTACTACACGGTCTTACTACATGTTACATGTCAGCAGTTTGGCAGAATTACATTATAAAAAGGGGTGTGCAGTAATGCATCTCAAGTGAATAATTGCACCATCGCGAGATAACACAAAATGTGTGAAAAGGACTTTGGGTGGAACGCAACTGTAAGAAACACGGAAGTGTTATTTTAAAATGCCAAATATTTTTTCAAATCTACAGTGCCATGCCACTAACAAATGCTCGGCAGTTTGTCCATAATATTCCTCACAATTACACTGTAAAAGATGTTCGAACTAAGTTTAGTTTTGGCCCAGATTCTGTTTCATTATCGTATGCGAGATGATTCTATATTCACTGTAAACTATCAAATTCCGACTTGGGTTACCCAAAATAAATTGCGCATAAAAACATTTTCTATGAATTTACAACTAAACGTGCATATGATTCAACAATGGATTTTTTAAACTACGTTTCCTCACGAACAAATAACGAAACACAATTTTTATCAACTTTTTATTCCTGTTTGTAAGAATCGTTAGTATGGAGTTGGAACGTTTGCTTTTTTAAAACGTTTGAAGATGCAAAAGTGTTGGTCCGGAGTTAGAATTGTAGCTTTTGATTACCTGTATCCCTTCTAATACCAAAATTTATTTCTGAAATAAACAAAATGTTACTGTTTAGCCAAAGATGCAAATTGTCACGTCATTCTAAGAAATATATCTTCATCACTTAGTGAGATGTTTTCAACTGCTTTTGAATAAAGCTTTCTGAAACATAATAAAATTAGTTCTTGCCCTATCGGCTTTCGATGTTTTGACACGTGCATTCTTACTCTAAAATGTGTAATACTGAACTCATCAGATGCCCATTTGTTTAGAAATCATCCATAAATTACATTTTGAATTGCCCTTCTGTATTTCCATGATTGAATCATTTATATGGAATGAGCCACAGTACTTGAATGGATGGAGATGAACAAGAGCTTTTAAGCTCCAAATCTGGCCTCTGCATTTACGCAAGTTAACATTGACGTCAAGGAGCATGCAATGCCAATTTGGGATGCCGGTACAGTACTATTTGGAAATGCCTGAGTTAAACCTGAGTGCATCTGAAATGCGTTTTCAAACCCTGAATGCATATGCACTTTTATACTTGCAGTACTGGAACTTTTGTGAGTTTCGTTGGAGATTAGGTCCTGCAAATAAAGGCAGTGTACGCCAACATCCTTAAAGCACCACTCAGCTGCTTTATTCTCGTTAAGAACAATTTACTTAGAGTTCTGAGATTTGAGGTGGGTGGCCTTATATTCAATCCTATTGCGGATGAATCATATAGCTGATTACATGCTACAAAAATCAGCAGCCATAGATGATCCACGGATAAGGATGGATTTATTGCATTTTTTAAATAGAACCACCAATAAATATTACCAAAAAGACAGTCCAGGCGGCGCAGGGGATTTCGCACCGCAATTTTTCTGAGTGGTGGATGGACACCAAATTTCCCCAAGGCTGTTCTAGTGTATGAAAACAAAAATTAAGAAAAGACATTTCAGCATACTTTGGTAAATTTCGGTAAATGTGAGGGGAATGAAGCCACTTTTCTCGTGTTTTTTATTACTATTACGGATATTTCACTAACACAATACTGCGAGATAAAACTAAGGCACGCAGTATGATAGAGTTATTACAGGGACCTAAATTCATTCACCCATCAGTTGTCCTATTGGAATCTTCAAGACCCACTATTCTTGGCAAACGGGAGCCAAATACTATAATCTGTTCAGTGGCTTGTGTACGTTGCTTTATTTATTGCTTTGTATTATGGTTTATGCATTTTGACGTACTCCTTGGATTGGTTAGCAAGGTCTGCGCGTTACGGTTTTGGCATTCCGTTTCAGGTTACTTATGACTTTTCAGTACTTCAGAGAGAGAAGGACATCGATGAGCGTGTCAAAGATCCTTTGCACCGAGTTTCTGTAAGTTTTCTGCAAACAAAAAATAAGTTTTTATTTGAGGCTATTGGGATAAAACAAAAAGTGAAGGACTGAACTTGCTTCACTGTAGGGTCGACGCTCTGTGAAGAAAATACGCAGGTCGTAATTTTTTGTCGCAAACAAACAGTCCAAAAGTGCATGTGCGGCCGATCCAATTTCAGTATGCAAAAATTATGAATAACGTTGTTGTAGCTTTGGAAGTGATATTGTAAAGGCATTGGCTCCTACGTGTGAGGAGCCAACACAATTCTTGAACAATTATTCTAGGTTGAACGATTATTTCCGTAATTCCTCACCGGGAACAATGATGTCCGATGTTTTCAGTTAGTAGATTGCAAAAAAGTTTAGTTTGAAGAACTTTGAAAGAGGTTAAAACCAAACGTTCAGTAATTAATTTTTTAAATCAAAAACAATATATTTCGTTCTGTCTTATAGCTCATCGCCCAACTTCAACGCAGGGAGCTCTTGTTCCATCCACTATGTTCAACATATCTAGATTTAAAGTGGTGAGTAGTTTTTGGTTACTTTTACCGCATCATTTTAACACAGAAAGTATTACTTTAGAATTGCTTTATTAGCGAAACTTCTAGGAATGCATCTTCATTCTAGTTTTATGTATCCTGTCATTAGAGATTCTCCTAACTGTGTGAACGGTATATATGTTGGCCAGTGGATCCCGGTTCGGTTTTAGACTGTAAATCCTTCATCTTCTCGGTGAGAGTCTGCAGAAATTAATTAATCCCAATCTTGTCTGTCGCTAATGCATGTTTAAAAAAAACAGATTCTGAGTTTTCCATAGTGGTTATACGACGCGGGCTCTAACGGTCGAATTTTTATTGGACTAGATAATTTTTTCTAGCAAACATCATCCTGTTGGCAATTTTATTCAGTATATTCGAAATGGGCTTTATGCGGCTGACCTGTAATATATTTAGCTTTGTGTGAAACATTTATTTAGGCTGAACAATGGTGGAACAATAAGACTGTAATATACCACCATTCACTGACTGCCGTTTCGGCCATTGCGTGCAGTGATTATTTGCCGGCAGTGAAAAAGTCTTAACATTAATCTTGGTGTTTCTTGCTGAAAAGTGAACAAAGCCGACTGGTTAGCGAAGCGGTAACAGTGGAAGAGTTTGCTTTATGTAAATGGGTTTCTTCAGTAAAATCACAGGTTTATTGGTTAATTCCTCTCTATGCAATAGGCATATATCAATCTCACATGCGATTGAATGGCAAACTGGCTTATTTAGGATAGAGCAATTCTTTCAGGTATCCCCCCCCCGGAATGGTACACTTGCATAGGTGCCACTTGGACAATTAACTTGCAAATGTTTGCATAAATATAAAAAGTCAAATTAGATCCTAGAACAGGACATTTGGTCAAAGGCGAGGTGGAAAGCAGGGTTGTCTGATGCAGTTTGTGAATCGGGGTTCAGGTTTTTGAGTGAATAACCTTCTGATGTCCTGGACCAGTGGTACCTGTGATTAAACAAACATTAGACTGGTTTGGAGTTCCTTAAATGTAAGTGCCAGAAACAGAAATGACAAAACGAATTGCTTCGCTCAGATGAGTGATCCCAGCTGATGCATATTTTAGTCGACTCGTCCAATGTAAAATAAAGTGTTTACTACTAATGATTTTTAAATAAATCTTTCCACCGCCATAATAGATCAAAATCCAAAATGGTCGCACACCACTGACGAAGCTTAAACTTTGGAATTAAAATCAACCAGCTATTCCATTGAAGGGGTCCATGTTTTCAGATACAATGTAAAACGCATTGTTGCAGCCTTCTGAAACTAGATATTACGTCTTACTCAAATTTAGGCATCGATTCGGAAAAGTCCCCTTCTTAGATGAACATATCCTACCAGGTTTCAATTGACCGCTGGGCAGCTGCAAAACGGTCATTTGCAGAATCCTGTGTAGCACAAAAATGAAAATCACTGTGCTAATTTGCCAAGTGTATCGATCATTTATCCAGCTAGGTGATAAATAGACCGACGAACGCAAAATGCGCATCCAAAAAACTACACCGTCGGCAATAACCATGACAATGTGCACCCTAACAAGCAGTTTTTTATCACGAGATTCGTTTGACTGCTCAGCTGGAATTTTTGTGACCTATAGTCAGTTGTGTTATTCTTCTCTTTATTCAGGAAGATTTATGGTCGCTGGGTACATTTCTTCCAGCTCATCTACTTTGCTTTGATTTTGGCCGTCATTACAACTTACGTTATCAACGACGAATTGCAGATAGAAAATCGGACTAACAGCAGTAGAGTTTACGAAACCGTGAGTTTCTCTGAAATCAGCTCGGTAATTTGCCAGGCTTTTGTCACTAAAAGAAATGTAATGTAATTTCGTCAGCTGCATGCTAATGTCAAATGGAAATTAATGAGGGACCAACATTTATGATTTAATCGACTTAAACAGTGAATAACTGGATCATCCAAAACATATATGATCTATTGAAATCAGGCACAAGAGAATTACCTACCTTCAGAAACGCTTCTTGGCAAGCTGTTTAGAAGTGGTAAAAACCTATCCTAGTACATAAAGTGCAACGGACGCTATATTTGCTCCGTACCTCAAATTTCATTTTAATCTTACTAGTGGCTTGATAATCAGTATTCATAAGAAGAACTTACATGTTGTGTTTGCATAAATGTCCTAAAGACACGGTTTCCATAAATACTCCTAATACTGTTCTTAAGATGACGTTTCAGCGATTATGAGCTTAATATTCTCGTGTGTGCTTGCATGAATTCTACTGTCAGGCATTAAAAATTGGTCCACAAAATCGGAACACTGAATCCAGGTATGTCTACATAACAGTAAGATCAGTGAGAGCAGCGTACACTTGCAGTGAAAAATGCTTGCAGAATCCTCAATTCTTTCGAAATTCAATCAAAACCTGCTTATCAACTGTTCTACTCATCATAACTGAATGCCCAATGACCGTAAAAGAGAACTTGATATCAAATTACATAAAACTGCCACCAGTTTGCTTGAAAACATATTGCCTACCAAAACAGTGCGAAAACTCACCGGCCACTTTTCTGCGATCGCTGCTTGAGTGCAACCGTGGAGAGCAACATAAATCTCTCATAAATCTCTGAATTTTATCATGCGGACCATATAAAGGGATTTTGTCGGATAATCTACGATTTAACGCATCAGCTTAAGTAATTAACGATTTTTGAACCATTCGACGGTATCGGTATAAGATAGAGAAATGCTGAAATCGGTATTCGAAGGTGACCGAATTGCCACCATATATGGCTATATACTTCGTTCATTGTTCATCAAGTTCAGACAAGGATCACTCTGTTTTCTGTACCATTTCATAAAATGCTGCGAGGTGCAACTATACTTGATTTTCCTTAACTCCGCTTGTTGGCGTATCTTCCAATTCTACAACATCATTTTCACATTCTCCGTACATCACTTTCTCCTGGGTAAAACTTATTCAGGCTATTAGTCTCATCGGAGCATTATGAAGCATGCTCAATCATAAACTCAGGCGTTTTGGACGAAAGGATCTTCAGATTCAAAAATTATTCAGTCAAATTTGCTCAGAATGCTGAGAATTATTCTTCGCATTTTGAGCAATCCGACCCAAGCACTGGTGGAACAGCATTGTTTGATTTGTTCGTCAGCCTATGGATTTGCAGTTAATTTTTCTGCATCTTGTTTCAATTCAATCCATAGATATGACACCGATTTTTCCAAGCAGGTGATGAAAACTCAAATTCTACTTTTCAGAGATCTGTAAACTTTTCCATTCCACGTTGACTGCTTACATACGTAAATATAACTGATCAATACAAATCAACTCGTGGTTTCTATTGAAACCATGTCGCTTTTGTTTGTTTTTTGACTAATTTGTACCTAGGAACTGTGCAGTAGACCAGATTTGTTTCAAGTTGCTAAGTTCTTGATGTATTGCTACCAATCGCACGTTATGACAGCATGAAGACTGATGATAGTCACAATCAAACATGGGGATGACGAAGCTCTTGAACTATTGTTTTGTGTTATAGGGATGACCTTGAAACTTCCGAAAAGTCTGTGGTAACCTGGCAGGCAAATACAACCAAAACGCTGATTAGAATTTGACGTTACGCCGACTTTTGTATCTATAATCCAAAAAATGTTTGCTATAATTAGCGCATCTATCTATTAGTTGAGTTGAAGAAAGCTCCAATTCAAATGGCTTCTCAAACCGGCACCGAACTTCTTTAGGATCCTTCAGTGTGTGCAATCATATTACTAAAAATTTTGCACAAACCGCAGCTTTCGCTATTTTCGAATATTCAACACACCAAAAGAGACCATAGCTCACAAAAAAAATGATCGGTCCGATTACCATAACAACTCCACAAGATGCCATGTATAGACTGTCGCCGCATTTATATCAGGTTGGCCAGCAAGCCTTTGAATGGCCAGACAAGTGGTTGCAAACTATGACTTCCGACTACCCCAAAGATGATGATCAAAATAAACAAATCGAAAAGTACTTCAGTGTTTGCCTTTCAAGTGCTAGCCTGGGAAGCGTCGTATCGACTCTGATGATGTGCGATAAGGCTTCCATGGTGTATGAGTGAAGTGCAGTTTTGAGTGACCTGCCAGTCATTTGATGTCTTCGTGCACCACCAGTTTTGACAGAATTTAGCTGTCTCAGTTCCCTCTACCCTATGCACCACACACACGTGGATTGAGCGCAACAGGCCACACGCCAATTTGATTCTCAATTCCGTTAACTGAGAGCATAAAATCAGTTTTGAGCGAGGTGTGTCACTAATGTTCTAATGTTAGTCATCTAGTGTCTTGTTGGAGATGATCCTTGGCAGTGTAAAAGTTGGAGAACTTTAGTTTGATCATGGGAAGAACGAGGACAATTAACCTGTAAGTACTTTCCTGTGATTGTTTCTATTATTTCATGCATCACAAATCAAGTGAAATGGTTATATAAAAATCTGGGGTACCTACTCTGTAATGAGGAAAGTAGAAAAAGGGAAATGGGTTGAAAGTGAGCACATGGTTAAGTGGGTCACCAAATCAAATAAGTGATGTTATTGTCCGGCAAGTACGTAGGGCCAGGTATTTTGTAGGCCGTAGGTCGCACAATTTTCTTTTGGGCGTAAAGTTGTGGGTATAGCAGTCTGATTTCACTCACCTCCAACTGACAGTAGTCTTGATTGGTCCAGAGATATATGCTATGGCCTACCTGCTCTTTGTCGATGGAATGACAGGTTTCAGACAAATGTGGTGTAGTTTTCCGTGAGCCCAGACTCTTTCAACTAATATACAGAGGTACGGGACTGTGGTTTTACATTCTGTACAACAAACACATTGTCCCAAAAACAACACAAGATGCTTGGCACAAGCATACAAACGAATGCACGCCAAGGATGAAGAAAAAAGCTAGCAATTGCCCCTTTAAACCGAACCTAATACAGGAGTTGAAAGTGAAACTTACCCACAGATTGACAGCCATACATGCTGTATCAACACAGTTCCTGGGATTTCGGCAACTGGCTCAGCAGTTCAGTCGCTCTTGAATGCAGGCCTCGAATGGAGGTTACGTAGCAACTGAACACCGTTCATGTTGGGCTTTTTATACTGAAGGGTCTTGAGCACGAACCCTCAAAGACTGCTCAGCTCCGAGAACTTGAAGTTGTTTTGTAAACAGTCAGTGGAGCATATCGTTATCGCTATTTTAGTTAATTACGTTACGTTTCGGCTGCAAAGAGTAAAAGCCATCTAATTGAATATACTAGCCCTTTCAGGTTTACTTTTGGTAGAATTTGAGCTCCCAGGTGCCGTAAGTTTTATTTTCAATGCTGACCTCAGGAAATTTAACTGACTTTTTTGTTCTGGCCTGATTATGATCTTGAATTTAACATGGACTGAAGTACAACTGCTTAGCTTGTCTTCTGTGCTGATAGATTTGTTAGCAGATTAATAGCTACTGCGGTTAGCATATTTAATAATATATATAAATATTAATAATCTATTTGATGTGGAGTTGTTTTTAATGAAAAATGTCATCAAGTGTGCCTGCAAGTGAGAAACTTTTCCAAGTTATCTTGAAAGATTAAGAATGAAAACCAGCAAATGAAACAGCGCAAAAAAACATTTAATAAGTTCATTATTTCGTCAGGGTAATAGAGAATGAGTCGAGCGGTTTTAATCTCACGTTGCTTCTACAAGTGAAATTACCATAGCACCCATCAAGCTCTTCTGTTTTGGCGCTCCACCTTAATAGAGTGCCTTGATAACTTCTGTGTGTTTGCTTGCACAACCTGACGGGAAATAAAAACAAAGAAAAACAGATCCTTTTACTTGTGTAATAAATGGGTATTCGAAAGAAACACGCGGTTGTGTTAGCGATGAATTCGCCGCCCAACTAGGCGTTATTGCTTGCCTTGTGTGGTCTCAGACGACAATATCAGAATGCAATACCAGTACATGCGAAGTGGTCTGGTTTTTGGGTCAAATGTCCAAGAACTAAATAATTAATACTGACAGAGAAATCCAATAAATTTTTATGACATTCAGCTGAGGTGGAGGATTAATTTCTGATTTTGGGAACAAATAACTTCGAGTCGGCTTTTTGTGTCTTGCGAACATCTTATTTTAGTAAATCATGGGTGAAAACAATTGTTATGAAATATGAAATTGAAGATATAAACGAAAACCTAATTTCTGCATTATGAAATATTGAAGATATAAACGAAAACCTAATTTCTGCATGAAATAAAGGCGTAGGCTAGTGTCATTATTTGTATAATTTCCTCAAAACAATAGCATGCGGGCTTGAATCTTTGTGGAAATCAACCATACACGACTTTTGTAGATGTATCCACAACACAACCTGACTCTCTCCAAGGCGCACGAGAACAATTAATAGATGGTTTTAATAACAAGCGCGTTTTAGAATGCCAGATGGCGAAGCATGGAAGCTTCCATCTAAAATCTTTGCACAGCATTCCCAAATCTATAATGAGAAGAACATTCTTCAAATGGCTTTTCAGTAACATTGAAACGGTCTAAACTTTTGTTATGATCCATTTATGTGTTTGGTTTTCTTTTAGTAGACTCTCCGTAATTTTAAGCAATATATTAAATATCATTTAACCTCTCTTGCACATATGGCGAAAGTAAATGATGACGTGTTTAAAAAAACCGCGTGTTTCTTTGTTCCGAATCATTACTCATGGTCATTACCTATATAAGCATTGCCATGTGATTTGACAGCACCAAATTTTAGAGATAAGCCTGCGTAAACCCTTTGGAACTCAACTTGTGCTGGGTATTTATATTGAGTTGAAATGCAATCCTGTAAACGTCAACCACTATCCGTGCCTCTTCACTAGGCTTCAGGCTCTAGGCGTGCGCAGTTGCATGCGCATTTGCAAGGCAATGCCATCTAAGTAGACAAAAAACCAAAGTTAACTTAAGCTCATGCTGCCATCTGATAAACGTGATGATTTAACCAGAATTCATATTAAAATGGTGGCTGAATGATGCTTGTGACTTATCAAATATAAGATTCGACATTATTTGTTCATAAATACATGGGCAGCAATATGTCTATATTTGTCCAGAAGTACTAATGTTCCATTAGCTCTTTTAGGCAACAGGATATCCTCATCGTTACTCGGATTCCCTGTTAACCCACGTGTTAACTAGACGTTTGTATAATTTTAGCCGGATGTTCTAACCAACCACTAACTGCACCAGTATGTTTGGCGGGTATTTAGGCCTATGGTGAAATAATATGAACATAAGTCGAAGTTCTTTTGATTCAATGAGTAAATTAGTGTTAAAAAAGTACCATATAGGATGAGCCATAAATCCTAGAATACTAATCACTGTAATGTAGAACACTACCTTTGACCTAGGTTGAAACGTTTTAAACTTTTTGTGGTGCAGCATACCTGGTTACGATTTTGTGTGTTTCTACAAGTCGGCCAGGTGTTTTTGATGGAGCTGTTCAGGTGATTTTGAGACGATCTCGCTATGTTTCAATCTTTTTCTCGATAGACAGTACTCTATTTCCAATGATTATGTCGTCTATATTTAGTATCCCGATTAGTACAAATAAATTTTTGTCTTCAATAACTTCCAGCTTATCTCAAGAAATTTCGAAGTCCTCAAAAAAATATCGCCTAGTAATTTCCAACTTTCAAGGACCTCAGGATCTACGCATTCTCCCAGCAACAGGGATTGTAGTCAAGTTATTTCACCCGTTTTTTCATCTTATGTTTCACTACTATTATCTCCACCAAACATCCACCACTACATTCGTGAGTATTCTGAAATCCCAGCGGCTGTCCAAATATGGCTGGTTGTTTTTGTAGCACTGTTTCACTGGTGAAAACACTGACTGACAGTTTGCAGCACCGCCAGCAGTGCTTAATATAACAAATATTTCCGGAAACCGGCGAGGCAACGAAGATTGTCATCTTGCCTCATGACCGTTGTAAATATACTGTTTGCGGGAAAATAATGTAACGTCAGCGTATGCACTGTATTAGTTCGTCAGGGAATGCAATGCAAGGGATAGCGGGAGGTATTATTCGCCTACTTCTTGACCAGTTAAATTCAGTTATAGGCAACAAAATTTGAGACTTGTCACCGCTCCTGTTAGAATTAAGTTAGTGATGCGTTTAACTGCGCGTTTTACTAAATTTCTGATGATCACATCTGTAGCAATGTTTCCAGACCAAGAGCTTTGAGCGGTTAAGACAATGCTGGTTTTGGTTCATGCTTTACAAAACATGACATCTCCACTATTACAACCATCCCAGTAATGGTAGATGAACTCTATCAAAGTTTTTCATGCTTAACGTAAGTCTACTTTATTTTGGCTCAGTTAGTCCCACACGTACCCAACCATACGAGCTATCCGGATTTAACTCTATTCCAACAGTTTTTAATGTAGGATTTTCCTCAAAATGGACGTTTTATGCCCACCAATATTATAAATCCTTTTATGCATTTCAAATGCATAAAGTTAATACCCAATGTGTGTGCATTTTTCGTTCTACGATACTATAATTTGAGGTAGTTTAAGACTACCAAATTAAATGTTACAACTCCAAACCCATTTGGCTTGTAAATATATTGCCCGTGATTAAGGCGGCAGAGCTTATCTTCGCTAACATCAGACTGCTTTGACGCTCCAAGCTAATGGACCTTGTGCTTCGGCATGAGTGCTGTTATCCCAAATGCTGTTGCATGCTAACTGTAATGGAAAATTTTCAAGGTCATCCACTGGAGCCGCCTAAAAGCGGACTCGAAACATGACTGACGCAGTAGTAGAGTATATGGTACGAAAGTACGAATGTAAATGTAAATGTCACACAAGGCAAAAAACTTCACTCAGTAAGATAATATTCTGCACGAAGTAATTTTTCAGCTGCTAAAATTTCTATATTTATTTTGCCCTGTTTCAGGAAGAAACGATTGCCTCTCGGGTGCACCGATTTCGAATATTTGGTTGGGTCCTGTTTTCAGTGATCACTGTTCATATTTTACTCAAATTGTTCCAACTGAAACAACAGGTAGGATGCTTGACTTCTTTATTTCTATTTTTCCACATGTGCTTCTAATATGCATCCGTAAATTAAATGGCTTTCAGATAGATAATCGAGCCTGAGAGATGTAAAGTACACAATAAATAAGATGTGAAATGAAAAGCCATACCTGACGTCAACTACTTGCCTGACCATCAGTATAATTTTTCTTTTGTGCTCATCTAAGTAATTAAAGATCACTTTCTACTCCAACACCTTGGTTGTCTATTGTTCTACCTCCGGAGAGCAATATAACTAACCATCTGGCATCAGAGAACATTAGAATATACGTAAGCATCATGTACGAGTGGCGGTGGATTGGAGTTCTTTGTGAAAGCTAGTTGAGGGGCTTAGAACTCATTTTTGTGGCTCTGTAACTACGAACGGCTTTTCATAAAAAATCACCAACACTAACCTACGCTATCTAGGACGCTACTCTCTGTTTCAGTAAAAGGTAACCGCGTGCATCAAAACGTCTGCAGCTGCGCTGAAACATACAATCTGGGGAATAGCAGTACCAAATAAAATTTGCTCAATCGAAGTCCGGGCTGTTGGAAGGCAGATGATTAGCCACCACTAAGTTAGACACAAAGAGAGCATCCTTAACCCAAAACATGTGTTTGAGACAAGACATAACTTTGAACTGGAATCGTATCCCAAGTTTGCTACAAGATCTAGACAGTAAAAACGACACCATCTCCCGCGACCGTTACTGAATTATTGGTGCAATCCCTTGCTGTACGTTCGAAGATTTCTCACAAAAATCTTGCGGCCACACTGGGATTTCCGACTAAATTACTGAGGACAACTTTCGGAGAGTTTTGGGGATATTTTCAGATAACTGTCGTGTTCTACTTTTTGCCTGTGCTGTCCAAACTGACTCTACTAAGCGTAAACCTGAGGCTATAATGTCGGCATCACGAATCATTTATGTCAGCAGTTGTATAATGACATAGCAGTTTGTTGACACATGTTGCAGGGTATACGCAGTTGTTTTTGAAAGATGGCACCCCCAAAACATGCACCGAGTAAAAACAACTCAATGTGGTGGCAAATTCGCTGTGTAAACTTACCCAGCCAGCCGAGCAACGACGTCCGGGGCGCAAAGTGCGACAGATTAGCTAGTTTGAAGGTTGGGTATGTTTGAACAACCAGATGATTTTATTTCTCATCAGAAAGCTCTGCAGTCACACAATGCAGGTGTAAACTACATCATCAACACAGCCATTCCGACCTTTTCAGGTTGCAAGTCTGCGGAATAATCCTTTTCTCAACTTACTCTGCTCCGCTTTTCTCACAATCATATAACCTTATGTAGGTGTCGTTGGGGTCCGAAGCATTACTCGGTCAGCGATTATCAATCAATCAGCGATGTCCTGACAGCAACCTGCTCGAAAATTGAGAGTAAAATTCGCAGTTATGAATAGTTATAATAATAACAATAATAATACTAATAATGACCTCCTTACCTTCTGAAATTTGAAGTCATTACTCGGGAGTTTCCCGCGTTTTAGAAATAACTTTACCCTACAATGTTGCTGTTTAGGGATTTATATATATATATATATATATATATATATATATATACGCGTTTCAACTATGTAGGTCAAGTGTATTCGCCTGCCATTGGCATTCGCAGACAAAATCTTAGGTGGTGATGATTTGGGCATAAATAACATGCGGTTGATGCATAGTCAGGATCTTTAGGCATCCTCCTAGCGAAGCAACAAAATCGCATCAAGCAAAAATCCTGAAATGCTTAGAGCGAGGGAACATATCCTGGCTCATAAACACGACAAGGCAGCTTTCGAAGAGAATACGTGATCATCTGTTTTACCGGAGTATCATTAGACTCTACAGTTTATTTAAAACCTCGTTTGCGTCCCACTTAATTGACACTAGGCACGTAGTCATTCAGAGTGAGTCATTTCATGTCATTTACCGTGCACCCAATGGCCTGAGAGGATCTATCCAACGGCGTCGCTTGACTACAGCCGTGGCAGTTGCCAAAAATTTGTGAAACTTGGTACCGTGCTGTCAAAACCGTTTCGTACAAACTCGGAGTCTGCCTTAGTCATGTGACACGAATCAGCCGGTCAGGTCATTCAACGGCCCTCTAAACTGTCTCACAACATCCAGCTAGATGTAACGTTGGGGCTCAGAAAACCAGTCGTCCGTGTCTCCACGTTTTGCAGTTCACTAACCAATTTTCGCTTTGTGTTACATTTTTTGCTCCTATTTT